ATTAAATGATGCTTACTCATGAATTAAAATTACTTAAAAAAACTATCCCAAAACGAATTAATATGCACTAAAAAGTAAAAAAACAACAAAGTATTACTTTTATAATACTACTTACTTTTTTTTCTCATCAACATCTCGGCGTGATATTGAGTTATTCGTCCATTTGTCTCGCACATACTTAATGCAGATATAAAACTTATACGGTCTTCTCATGGACGCCATTGTGAGAACATCGTCAGGACCAAATTGAAATGGGACCACACGACCAGCATTGCAGAAACGCGTCAAATCACGTAAAATTATCTGCCAGACCGTACAACGTCCACGGATGGGGATTGAACCCACGAGCCTACCATAACCTGGTCTGGTCGTTGTTTAAAAGGCGGCGTAGTTCTAACCCGACGCTGGGAATACCGTTACGTTTATGGGTCTCGTGGCCTAGCGGCAGATCGAATGAAAACCGGCCAAGTGCGAGTCGGACTTGCACCCGAATTGTTCCGTACCGTCTATAAAATCAGCAAAAGTCTTGTATATTGTATGGGAGCCGCAGGTAAATATTTTTTAGCATTTGTCGTTATAGCTGCAACAGAAATATATGATCTGTGAAAATTTCACCTGTCTTATAACGGTGCATGATATGCATCCTGGTGACAGACGGACAGACGGACAGCAGAGTCTCTGTAACAGGGTCCCGTTTTACCCTTTAGGTATTACACAAGGTACACCCGCGTTCCGGGGCGGTTCTCACCGCTCCCAGCCACCGATTAGCTAATTGCACAGTCGACGGCCATCGGGCTTTCGGTCCGAACCGCGACCTCGATGGCCCTTAGATGACACACCATAGTTAAACGCACGCGTGAGCACATGCGTGGCCCTACCCACAGCGAAGGGCCCAAACCCGTGGGTTCTGGCTAACCCACCGGTTCTGTGTCAGATGAAGCTTTAATAGTCTCGGGACTGAAAGCAAAAACATCAGTTTTTTTCATGTGAGTAAGTGGCAAACGAACTGGCGGTTCACCTGATGTTAAGTGATGACCGCCGCCCATGGACATTTTCAACACCCTTAGTGTTGCACATGCGTTGCCACCTTTAAATTAAGTGGGCCCCGGCTACCTCACTCACCAGACGAAACGCAGGAGTGTAACACTTCTACTTTACGCCGGTCTTCTGTGAGGTCGTGGTACTTACCTGGACGGACTCGCCCATTCGTGCAACAGTGCAACACTGGTGCGTGGCCCTACCACAGTTACTGGTTACTGGAGATAGAATGGAACCGTAACGCGTTTGCGTTCTGTTGTCGTTCAAATCGGTTACCCCTTAGTTGCGCCAAAAGAAGTTTTACTTCACTACATAGTATTTTTTTTTATGTGAAAAGTTGCCAAACGAGCAGACGGTCCACCTGATGGTAAGTGAATACCACCACCCACGGACATCTGCCACAACCGTGGGTTTGCAGATGCGTTGACAACCTTTTGGAAATTGGGCTCCGGCTACCACACTCACCAGACAAAACGCGAAAGTATTTGTCATACTTCCACTTTAGGTTGGTCTTCTGTGAGGTCGTGTTACTTACCTGCCCATTCGTGCAACAGCTGAGGTTGCTGCGTGGCCCTACCACCGTAAAAACAAAGCCTTCCAGCTGTTTGTCTATTCATATGTATGCTTAGATCTTTAAAAATACGCAACGGATCTCGATGCGGTTTTTTTTTACTAGATAGTGATTCAACAGGACGATTTATATGTATAATACATTGCACTTGTGCGAGATAGATTTTGTTAATAGCGATACGTAATTGACATTGGCTCCATAATACATACATTAAAATTCTATCTCCAGTAACCAAATCTATCTGTACATCGCATATTGACATAAAAAAAAGTCTTCGCTTATATTCTACAAATTTAAAGTTTTTTATAGTGCTAATCTCTGCACTTAAGATTAAACATTAAAACTTGTAGAAAAAGTACGAAAAGATTGTCGCCGCTGTGGGAATCGAACCCACGTCTTCGGCATTCGCGGCCTGACGCTTTAGCCACTAAGCTAAACGGCTAAAAAAAGCTAAATGCTTGGCGCATCTATTGTTATATCCTTTCCAGCATACAAACAACATATTTTCTCAATTGTAAATAAATACATATTATAGATTTATATATGTTTATCAAGACACTGGAAAAACACTAAGTTCATCACACAATGCTTTTACAGTACTGAGGATCGAACACACACTCCAATAGCTTAGCGGCTACGCCACCGAGTCATATTTTGCCCGCTGAAAATTAATCCGTATATAGTTACTTCCTCACCTGCCATGCACTCCTGGTACCGCCTACAAACATATGAAGCGGAAGGCGTTAGAAAAGACCCTAACGACCCTAAGGCCGATAATCCGTTACCAACAACTCCTGGTACATGCGAAGCGGGAGACGTAAGAAAAGACCCTAAGGCCGATAATCCGTATATCGTTACCTCCTCACCCGCCATTCACTCCTGGTACTGCTCACAGACACGCGAAGCGGTAAATATTAGAAAATACCCTAAGGCCGAGCGTCGAATCTGACGGATCAAGGTCGACAACCACCAGGTAGCCAGGCGATGCGGTATACCCTTCGGTGCGGACGGACGCGCGAATATGAACCCAATCCTCTACGTTTAAGTGTGTATTTCGCGTGCACTCGACTCACGCCGCTGTGAGACATGCGTACTTTGAGTGGAATCTCCGTTCTAAAAGTGATGCTCGCGGATTCGACCCCGCCACCTATTGCTACCAGCAGCGGTACCGTGGCAGCGTTTGCAACTAATGTTATCAAGATTGTATTCAAACCCATACCAGACCATAGCAGACCAGACGCGAGTCTCTCGCGAGCCCGGGCTAACTGACATACACACGTCCAATCGATCGAATCGTAAAGGGTTCGAATCTTCGGGAATTAAATTTAAATAATTACTTTAAAAAACTTTTAAGTTAAACGGTTTTATTTTATGTTTTTTTTTTTTTTTTGTTAAATTTTTTTTGTTAATATTGTATTGTCATCTAAATTAAATGTGTGTACCAAATTTCAGATCAATCTGACAACGGCAAGGTGCTTAAATTGCAATTTCTAATTTTGACCCAAATAAATAAACAAACAAATTCCGTACGGGTCGAGCTAAATAAAACCGTTTAAATAGAAATAGTTTCATTTTTAATAAGTAAATATCGCGTAAATACAAGAAACTATCAATTATATTCTTTCTCCGTTAAACTTATAATTCCTCCATTAGAATTCAGTCTAAGCCTTCATCTTAATTAACACCCTCACGGTATATTTATTGTTAATGGCTGAATGGGATTATGCAAGAGGGGACATTCCACCCATTTACCTGTCTCGGATTTATAAACTGAGTGCTGTCCTACTGGAAGGGCTCACTTTTATTCCTAAACGAGGTTTAGACCTCCATAAAGCCAACAGTAAGTGATCCGGCAAAGAATAAAAATCGGACGCTGTAGAATAATCCGTTATTTTTACGAAATAGAATTAGGTACGTAATGCCACGTCAAATTTTCACTACACCCAGGGTTGAAAGTGGCAAACTAGCTGACGGTTCACCCGATGTTAAGTGATAACGGCCGCCCACGGACATTTGCAACACCCGTATAAAACGTATTATGTGGAGAAGGGCTACCTATACAATATTGACTCGACTGTATTCTTTAGCATAACTAGATGCCAATCTGCAATGGGACCCCCATATTAATAAGTTATTTCACGCCGGTCTTCTGGGAGGTCGTGATACTTACCCGGGCGGACCTGCCCATTCTTGCAACGGCCAACACTGTTGCATGGCCCTACCACATTTATGAAAGAATACTTATTAACATTGTTTGCCTTTTGTTTGGCCTTATGGTGGGGTGTAAACAGTAAATTTGTTAAATCCATAAATTAACAAATACATAGTTAGAGCTTTGTCGTCTAAACTTTTACTTCAAATATGACCCTCGAAAAAACGGAGTAGGTTTTCTGTACGGCGTGGTTGATGTCTTTTGCTTGATGCTTCTAAGTCAACTGATTGGACAGCAGTTTTAGCAGTTGTATGAATAGGCGGGCTCGTTAGGGGCTCGTGGGTACCACGGCCCCACAAATCGGCGTGGATTAGAAGTATTATGCTATGTCGATTTGTCTGAATGACTTAAACGGGGTCCACTGCCTTTAAAGGCTGCCAACGCATCTGTTGCAGTAATCAGCTGCCAACAAGTAAACCACATGCCGTGTTGCTAACTTTTCACACACTAAAAAAATGTTCTCTCTCTCCCTCCCGTCCATTCTCTATCGCTGTTATACGGATGGTATAACAGCGATAGAGAATGGACGTTTTCTCTTTCTACTTTCTTCTTCTGTATTTCTAGAATATCTTTACCTGTCCTTACCCTGTCCCAAGGGGCGCTTTTCGTTTAAGAACCCCGTCCTATTTGCGTCACGTCAGACACGTTTTACATCTATCTATCTAAATTTCCTTGCACTTTAAACATCTCTAACGTTATCCCTCTCTATAGCACAGTTTCCCGCCGCTTTCCTGCTAACTATATCACAACTTTTATCGTTTCACATCTGTCACTCAATATTTGCCTTGCACTTTGAACATCTCTAACGCTATCTCTCAATCTCGCTCCAGTTACCCGCTCTTCTCGTACCCACTATATCACCCCTTTTATCGTTTCACATGTACCTCTCAATATTTGCCTTGCAATTTGAACATTTGTAACGTCGGTCCTCTCTATCTTCACAGTTTCCTCCTCCTACCCACGATAGACCAAAGAGTGTCCGTCTCACCAAACGCGCTCCCGTCCCTCTCTATCTCCCCAGTTACCAAATAGTGTTACTTATCAATAGATAGGCCAAAGAGTGTCCGTCTCACCGACCGCGCTCCCGTCCCTCTCTATCTCCCCAGTTACCAAATAGTGTTAGTTACCGATAGATAGGCCAAAGAGTGTCCGTCTCACCGACCGCGCTCCCACCCACAGATGTCGGTGGGCCTGCAGCGGCGCGTGCCCGCGCTCGATGACGCCGGCGTCGGCGTGGGCGTGGGCGTGGGCGCCGGCTGGAAGGGCGGCGGCGACGCGCCGTTCGGGGGCTTCGCGGCGCCGGCCGGCTCCCCGGCGGGGCCCGCGTTCGCCGCGTCGCCGGCGCCCTCCACGCCGGGCCCCGGCCCCGCGTTCGCGGGGCCCCCGTACGCGGGCCCCTTCGGCAGCCCCTCCGCGCGGCCCGGCTCGGGCGGCGGCTTCGCGGGGCCCCAGCAGGGCCACTTCCCGGGCCCCGGCGGGTTCGCGCCGCCCGGCTCGCCGTTCCACCCGCACGCGCCGCACCCCCCGATGCCGCCGCACCCGCACATGATGGCGCCGCTGCCGCCGCCCGTCGACAGGTGCGTGCTGGTGTTCCGTTTGCTCCGATCTTAGCAGTGCTCAGACCCTAGAAGTCGGGCTTTGCTGCTTAACAGTGCTTAGACTCTGGGCACTCTGATGCCCGTTTTCACCATTGTACCCTCAAACGCTCCCTTACTAGGGGTATCCTAACCTAAGGGATTCCCTAAATCAGCCCGTTACGAAAAGTCATTTTCACCAAATTTGGGGTACCGCTTAAAACTAAAGTCTGCCGAAACTAGCACCAAATATTTTTAAATGTCCCCTAAAGTTAGGGATCGATGGTGGAAACGGGCATAAGTCTCTAGAAGTCGGGCTATATCCTGTTTTGTGCGAGGTTCTGTTTTGTACCTCCGATGACTATTTTTATTTTGTGTTACATTTTGTGTTTAGATATATCGAGTCTTATGTACGTACTATCGTTTGCCACTATGTGTTTGTGCGGTGATGTATTTGTTGTACCAACATGGGTTGTTGCGATATACTCCAGACTTGTCTTGGAGAAGAGATGAAGGTGACGCTTTAATATGAAAGTGGGAGTTGTGTACTGATATTTGCTGCTGATCTCTAACCACCATTGAGAGTGTATGTACAATAGGATATGAGTGTTTTCTTCAACATATTTCTGTGTAAAAACCGCTCCTGTATTATGAAGACGCTCTTGTATTTTAAAGGATTTTAAGGAATTTCAGTGAATACGTATTAGTCAACGATAACACGGCTCTTAAAATATCAAGGTGCACATTTTTTCACTAATACTTCAAACCGAATTATAACGTGTTCGATTTCGTAATTTATCATTTATCCATATAATATTTAATTATCTGGATACAATGCATTCGTTATTAGTAAAGAAAGCCAAATAATTATAATATAAGCATGCGACTTAATAAGAATTTCCAATATTCTTGATCTAACCTGTTTTAAACCTATACACAAAGCTATCATGACAATTGAAGACCTGTACCGCTAACCGTCCAAGCTCCGTTACGAATTTCGCCGCGAAATGCGTGTTTCTGTGATTTAACTTTTCTCTGGCCGCCTCTCTTATTCTCAGTGTGGAATCGTGGCCAGGCAAGATTTTTAAAGTAACACATACAATCATGATCTTTCTGAAGTGCATTGATTTCCTCTTTAAATTTTCGCCCCGTCACGAAGCAAAAGGCGCGGTACGTTGAGGTAATTACTTTAGCTATTATTTTCGAAGCAAATACACATATACAAAACTATTTATTTATTTATACTTTATTGTACACCAAAAATAAAAAAAATATATGTAAAAAGCAAATTACAAATGAATATAAAAGGAAGTACAATAGGCGGCTGATTACATGACAATTAACACCGAAGTATCGCTTAAAGTTCAATGAGGCGAAACGCGTGTTTCTGTGACGTAACATTTCCACTATTTTCAAGAAAGAATATTCTGTGATTCCAGGTTGCTTAACTAGGTCATTAGTGCCTATGCAGAATCTGCGATGTGACTAACTCAATCTCACTTATGGATGCCGAAAGTTATGAAATATATTGATATATTATCGATATTTGTAAAAATATCAATATACGCCTCGATATATCGAAGAGAAAATATTGATATTTTCTGCTTAGGACCCGTTGTTAAATGTTGTCAAAAATATTTGACATCTACGGATTCTATGTCGGATCCGAATTTGAAAAAATATATTTGATGATCTGATTTCGATATTGAATATTGTATATCGATATATCGGATCCAAATATAGCGGCTACAAATATCGATACTTTTTAGGCATCCCTAATTTCACATACCTATAACCTAAAATCTCTTCAATACTATTCTTGCTAAGGTTCTTCGGGCATGTAACACAGTTTTATAGAGTAGGTTCGGCATTGACGGGTTCAAAAAGTCGTCACCCCATCTAGTGAGGTGTCCCACACTGCGAAGGCCAGTACGAGGCTGCCACTCGAGAACCTTTCATCCTAGTCCGCTATTGGTTCTACTATATGGCCGGCCCATCGCCACTTCAGCTTAACAAATTGACAACAGTCTTAAATGTTATCGCTACATAGTATAAAACAAAGTCGTTCCGCTGTCTGTCTGTCCCTATGTATGCTTAGATAGGAAGGTTTATATGTATAATACATTGTACCCGTGCGAAGCTGACTGCATGTCTTCGAGTGGAAAACTCGAATGACGATATATACTCACTGTTGCTTCTCAATACATTTATTGTAATATTTTGTATATACGTCATAACCTTAATTATTACCTAAAGAATAGTGACAGACATAAAATAAACACTAGAAATAAGGACAAACTTACTACGCCATTGTTTCGTCTACATATCTATATTATACCATTTTAGGAATATCTCGACGACGCCAATGTGTGGAGTTAATACTGTTGATACTCACGTAGGCTAGAATAAGACTATTATACCGGTATATTACCCTGATATTTTTAAAAAGAGCAACTGTCGTGTTTCTTGCCGGTCTCTTCTCGACAGAAAATGCTTTCCGAACCGGTGGTACCTTACGAACCTATACACATAATGTTTGATGTAAAATTTGACGATTCATAAGAGCGCGCAAGCGTCTATTTGAATAAATATATTTTTGATTTTGATATCGCGGCCTGTTCTCGTGAAAATATGATGCCGTTTTAAAGAGGGCGTACGTAACTATGGGGACCCGTGGACGCTAAAAATACCCTAATCGGTAGGGTTTTCGGCCCGGAGCGCCTTCGCAACGAGCGCTGAGTCATGAGAACTAAGGCTGCCTACATACTGGCGGTTGGGACGCGGCGTTCGTGAGGCGACAAAGTTGTGCACGATTAGTTTAGTGTGGCACTGTTTAGCACGGGTGCAATGTATTATACATATAAACCTTCCTCTTGAATCACTCTATCTAGTAAAAAAAACCGCATCAAGATCCGCTGCGTAGTTTCTAAAGATCTAAGCATACATAGGTACAGACAGACAGCGGGACGACTTTGTTTCATACTCTGCAGTGGCTTGACCGTTAATGCGACAACAAGCTTATTAGCGTGTCGAGTTGTTTTTATCCTTGGGTCGGTCATTGGTTTTAAAACATTTTGAATGAAACTTTTGAAGTTGCACTTCTTTCGGAAAAAATTATGAGAGTAAAATTTTTAAAATGCGCGCGTACAGACCCTCAAGAAGCGACTAAATTTCGAACTAAGCATGTTGAAGTTACCATGGCAACCAATAACAACTTTTTGACATTAACCAATAATTAAGTTTTCTAGATAAACCGTTATCGTTAGCATTTAATGTATTCACGCCAAAATAGTATAACTTCTTACGTGCGTAAGTACACACAGATTTTTTTTGGTCTAATAATGTCAAGATTTTAACGTTGTGTCAGAGGTCGCCTGTTGGTCGAAATTTGACCGTTATTCAATAAATTTTACATTAATCGAATGATACACTTTTCTAAGACACTTTTCTTCTTTCCCCAGTCAATCAAATTGATATTGAAAAATCCTTGACAAGCTTCACTCTGTGCAAATGTTTGACAACAGATCATTACGTGTTTGACATGGGCAGTGTGTAATGTTCTTTTGGAAATCAATGATTTTGTAGTTTGTTTTTAAGTAATTTTTCGTTTAGCGAGACGATTACTAACAGTTGTTTGTGTCCCCTATGACAAAAAAGGTTGAGCACCACTGGACTATAACATTCGAGGGAAACTCGAAGAACACTCAAAGACAACGGCGGAGTCGAGTATATGGGTTACCGAGTAAACGCGTTTAATTACTGCAATCCGATATAGCTCTGAGTCATAAATTACGGTAAGAAACAACACAAATACGAACACCCCAGAGTTGTCCCGTGTGGGAATCGAACCCCCTACCCCCGGTGCCGAAGCCAACACCTACGCAACTGCGCCACGTAGTCGTGTATACGTCTGTCCGTGTGTAAACGCCCTAAGGCCTTTCGTAGGAGAGCACTTGTGCATTGTTATATTTTTAACCCCACGCGTTGAAATCACCAAGCGGTCGAGACGTCGCACCGCACCGTACCGGACGTGGCTTCGAATCCCGACTCTGCGCTTCGATATTATATATCTAGAAGGGTGTTGCTTTTTCGGTTGACATAGAAATAAATGAAAATCATATCTTCATTCACTCTCAACCGACTTCAAAAGGGGGCGAGTTTCTCAATTCGACTTTTTTATGTTTGTTACCTCAGAACTTTCTACGGAGTGAACCGCTTGATGATTCATTTTTATTTGAAAGCTGACGCTCCCCATGTGGTCCCATATTAATTTCATTGGTATTGGATCTTGGGCTCCGGAGATACTTAGGGAACTCGTGAAAATCAATTATAAAATGAACACAGAGCGAGATATTTGAAGTCGGTTTTCTTTTTCGTTACATAGGGATAGACAAAACAGCGTCACTTTATTCGTACTAGACAGAAAATCTTGCCTTTGCATACATTTTTTTTCTCCAAACGGCGCTCGAGGAATGAGTTTCTGTGTCCCGGGAGATCGCCCTGACGTGAAAATCACACGTGAAAAACCCTGACTCCGAGAATATTTTTGTTGGTCACACAACATTTGCCAATTAGTGTCGGGATTGAACCCACAAAAAGGCGCGCAATACCAACTGGTAAGGTGAACCCACACCACTGGACTACTCGTGCAGTTCTTACTTATGTCCATAAAGTCTTTACCCGACTAGGGATGCAGAAAGTGAAGAAATTTATTATATTATTTAATATACGATATTTTCTCTTTAGGACCCGTTGAGCCCTGATAACTAGCTCATTGTCCGGGCGCTCGCCTTTAATTCAATATACTCGAGCAACCTCAGTTCGACCCCCGGTGCCGGCACCGATGAAATTGTTAATTTTAAGTGCTGACTTATCACGTGCTCAGCGGTGAAGGAAAACATCGCGAGGAAACCTGCATACTTTCGAAATAATAAAAATAAAATTTCGAGGGTATGTGAACTGCGCCAATCCGCAGTGGGGCCGCGTGGTGGACTATGCCCTGATACCCTTTGTCTAGAGGAGGCCTTTGTCCAGATGTGGCACATGTATAGGCAGGCTATCGCTTTACTTTTTTAGGACCCGTTGTCAATAACAAAAAGGTACGTAAAGTATTAAATTTTTGACATCTACGTACTCTGTGTCAGATTCGAATTTGAATAAATATAATTTTTGATAAGATTTCGATATTGAATATCTATATATCTGATCTAAATATATCGGCTAAAATAGCGATATATAAAATCAAAAACATCGATATTTTTTCGACATCCCTAGGTACTTTTTTCGACATTTATAGGCACCCGACTGGCAAAGGAGGGTAATGTTTTGAGTTAGTGTCTCCTAACGTCCGGATAAGCAATTATCTAGTCTTGTGCAGTTCGCGAATGATGAACGAATAGGAAACGTATCTTTGTACGTACTATAAGAAACGTTTCCGATGCTAACTGTTAATCGGTCTACTACCTGCACTAGTCGAGAGTAGTAGAGAGAAAGAGAGTCGATCGGTGACCGAGTAAAATGAGTACATCGGAAAAGAGCGGTTAAACTGGGACTATAGAGATTTACGTTTTATACCAATGCAATAACGACTATTTTAGCTTAACGGTGCAAAAAGGCGGGAGACCCGTGTGTAACGTATTATAATAGTTTTTAGTATAACAAGTGTTATACTAAAAACAAGTAAAACTTTGAGAATGTAAGTAAATTAAGTTTATTACAGTGAAAATAAAGTGAAGTGTTTGTACTATTTACTTTTTTAAATGCTGATATTATTATATACATTTTTATTCTGTTTTTTTTTTTTTATAGCGGCAAGAGAAATTCATTATCTGTGAAAGTTTCAACTGTCTAATTATCACGGCTCATGTGATACAGCCTCGTGTCAGACGAACAGACAGCGGAGCCTTAGTAACAGCCCCTTTGGGTCCGGAACCCCAAGAACCGCTTGTCGTCGCTCCATTCGACTTTTGAAGAGTTTCGCGTAGACTGCGACGCGTGATCCCGTTCTACGGTGACGGGTGACGGGCTCGCGAAATCATCCGAGCGGGCTGACGTGGGGGGGCCGCGGGGGGGGAGGCGAGGAGCGCGTGCCGCTCGTGTGCGCGCGCGGCCGTAAAACCGCGCCGCGCCGCTCCGGTGTGGGTGAACGAACGAATGTAGGTGAGCCGACGCTCCGCGATGCCCGCTCGCGTGTATATACTCTGTGCACGGCGCGGCGCGGCGCGGCGCTGCTGCTGTTGTACGGTCGACAGGCGTTTGACGTTCGAATTTTTTTTTTTTTTTTTCGCGCGGGAAATCTGTTCCGCGCTTTTTTTTTCTGTTCTGTTTCTGGACAGTATTATACGTCCATTTCGACAATGAAGCAATTTTTTAATAATTCTATTGATTTGTTTTTTTTTTCTTTGACGACCCGAATTTCGTAGTGGGTAGTGACCCCGCCTCTTGCGCCATAGGGTCTTCGATCCCCACTACTGGTAAAATATTGTGTGATGAACATACGTGTTTTCCCAGTGTCTAGGTGTTTCTATATTTATAATATGCATTAATTTACAAAAGAAAAGTATGTTTAAGTATGTTTATCAGTTATCTAGTACCCATAGAACAAGCGTTGCTTAGTTTGGGACTAGAGAACGTTGTGTAGAAATGTGACCTGAAATATTTACTGATTTATTGATTGATTTATAGAGCTCAGTATATCTGCTTGTTTAGTAAATATACCAGGAGAATGCGTCAGTAAAAAATTGATCATACCCTCCTAGATGAGGAATGGACCGTGTTAAAAGTTCATGACTTAACCGCAATTTTCGGAAAATAAAGCAATTCGAAATACGGTACACGTAAGGGAAGTCTGTAAGAACGTCTTACCATAAAATAAAACCTTACAACTTACGTCGGACGGAAAGTGATAGTTTATAAAGACGGGACTCAAACTCGCATTTAAACGGTTTCTCTTTTGCACTATCGCTTAAGAACGCCAAAAAGAGACGGAGATAAATAGTTTACCCTGCGCCCATTTAGTCCCGTGGAAAAATTGACCACACCGGATCACCAAATACTGTGAGATTGCACACAACATATGAAAACGCGAAAGTCATATTCGCACGCGTCACAGTGGGCTGATAATTGCCTTTTATAGACATTTTAAAGGGTCCCTTTATTCATTAAAATAGTTATACATGTAATGTAAAAGTTATACCTGATATACTTACAAGTTTACGAATTTCTCGAAAAACTAAAAGCAAACGCTTTTAGATGAAAAAAAAATGTTATTTATGTAATATTTGTCATTAGATTATATATTGTGATAACCCTAAATTATAGTGAATAGCGAAAACAGAAATAGAAGAGTAATAATAATCTAGGCTGGAAAATTTGATAGAAGTGAAAACGTAAACCATTAATATTCTATCTGAAAAAAAAAAAAAAAAAGACAAAAGCGAATGAACATCGTCTCTGCCGACGGTACTCGCCCACCCCGAGTACTGCCTCTATCTATCTACGTATACTCTATGTATTCATCGGTACCGCTTCGGCCGGCGTTAGCTGAGCCGCCGCGGGCCCCGCGCCGCGTACAATGGCCGAGTCGCGCGGGGCGACGGAGCGACGTTGCTGGGGTCACGGCATGCCGGTCGCCGTGTACATAAGTAAAGACTATGTGGAGTGAGACGCCACTCGGTTGCTCGAGTGTCGTCTGCTCCGGCTCCGCGCCCCGATCAAAACCGTTCCAAATTCGATATGAATTTTGACGTTCTTTTTTTTTCCTCTCTCCTTTCACCTAAAACGGCCAGCGGCGTCCGCCGGTCGCGGTAACGGTTTCTCCGTTTCTTCGCTCGCGAGTCTATCGTCCGATTATTTGTTTACTGTTGACATTATGCAATCGGTGCTATTTTTAACGATACTGAGGCCGTTGCGCGAGAACGCGTTAACGTAAACGTGTTATACCGGTCCGACCGGCGCGGCGCGTTTAAGGAGTCGTATCGTTGACGAAATTGGGTCTATAATGTCCTCTCGCTAAATACGCTATTCGGTCTATAGACTGGTGTTCCTAATTCGAATTTTTTTAACGAATTTCGCTCGGTTTACGGTAGCGTATTTATGGAATATTTTTTTATATTAAGGTACTTCTGCTTTGCTTTTTTAGAATGCAACAAAAAGGGGTAGTCTTTAAACGTATTTAAACGTGTATAGTTAAGAGATGAACAGTGTTGAAATAAATCTCACCATCGCCGCACTGTGACGGACTACGTAACCTATATTTGATCGTTTAAGTACTCCCGGGTCAGGCTGTACTCTGTAGGCAGTAGGGATGCCGAAAGTGAAAAAATATATTGATACATCGATATTTATAAAAATATCAATATCGGCTTCGATATATTGAAGAGACAATATCAAAATATCAATATTTTCTTTTTAGGCCCTTTTGTTAAAAAAACGTGCCAAGTTATAAATAATTGAATGAACGGACTCTGTCCCGGAGTCAAAGTTGAAGTATTTTGTTTGAAATATTGTTTTTGATACGATTTCGATATTGTATATTTTACATCGATATCTCGCATCAAAATATATCGGATATATTATATAAAAATATCGATATAATTTATAAAAAATATCGATATTTGTTCGGCATCCCTAGAAGGCAGGGCCGAGCACGTGGCGAGGGGTGGACGCGAGTCGCCCCCTCAACGCCGCTGCGCTCCTGGTACCGGCGGTGTTGAATTTTCATATTTCTATTATAGGGGAAAAAAATCTTTCGTCTTTTTTTTCGGGTCGTCGACTTTTTTTATGATTATTGACGATTAAGTGATCTCGCGGAACTGTGGTAAAGAATTTTTGTCTTCATTACACAATATTTTTATTCTAAATAGGCGATAATTATTTGGCAGAAATATATTCATATAGGCTAATTTAGAAACGCTTTTTCTTTTTCAATCTTATTTTTTTAATTAGCATTCGGTCATATTTTCTCTGTGGTGTTTATGTTTATACCGTATTTATAGTGTAAAGTACAAAACAAGTGGCCAGTCACGTGCGGCAGATTACAGTTCAAAATCCCATCAGTACAGCTCTAAGGTCTATGATGACGTACGAATGAGTGCAGGCAATCTACAATATCAATAAAAAAAAACCTTGTTACTAAAACAACATCCTATTCGTTGGCTGATCCCGGTCTCAAATCTGGAACCCCCCCCCCCCCCCCCCCCTTATTGTCGTTACAAAAACAACATTCTGTTCGTTGGCCGAATGCGGCATCGAATCTGAACCTCGGAACCGCTTCGGAAGGGTCTTCTCTCTCCTGCCCTATCACAGCCAGGTGGGGTCGCGACGACATACTTATATTTATTATCGTTAACCAACTGCAAAAAAGGAGGAGGTCATATGTTCAACTGGTAATTATTTCTTTTATGCATCGATTATGCATTTTTTTTTTGTTCAATAGTGTAATACTAATCGAAATAAAATAGGATTATATTGAGTGAGATATTTGAAGGCTTTTTTGTTGGGTTTTTTTTGTTCATAAAAATGTAACTTCTCAAATCTTTCTTTAGAATCGTACCTCTGCCCAGCATCGCCGTAAAACTAATTAATCCAGCGCTTCAACAGTACTCAACAATGATTCCTGTTTACGTGAATGCACACCATATGTGACGACGAAAGGCAATTCTAAAAGATTCCCTTTGGCGCAGTCGCTAAGCTATTTTTGCCTCGACGGCGGGGGTCGTGGGTCCCATTTCGTCATCCGACGATAAGAAGTGGTGATTAAACAGCGGCAGGGCCACGCAGCAGTAGATAGGCTCGTCTGAAGTGCTACTTCCTCACAGAAGAACGGCCGCGAAGTGGAAGTGTTATACTTCCGCGTTTCGTCTGATGAGTGAGGTAGCCGGGGGCCGCTTTATTAAAAGGCAACGTTTCTGAAACACTACGGATGTTGCAAATGTCAGTGGGCGGCGGTTACTTAATATCGGTTCGACCGCCAGCTCGCTTGCCACCTTCTCACACAAAATAACCTTTTTTTTTTACTAACTCTGTATCAATTTTATAATTGATTTTCAGGCGTTCCCTAAGTATCTCCGGAGCCCGATATACAATACCAATGAAATTAAGTAATGAAAGGAAGTACGAGCTTTCAAATACAAAAAGAATCATCAAAATCGGTTCTCTCTGTCAAAAGCTATGAGGTAACAAACATAAGAAAAAATACAGTCGAATTGAGAACCTCCTCTTTTTGAAGTCGGTTAAAAAAAGGATGGCAAACGCGAGGAGGCGACAAAAGTGCGGATACTCGGCGCTCCTAGCCGCCGGCGAAGACTGACAAGTGCAAACCCATTGATTTTTCATTTGCATGCCCTTGGAGACGGGCTTATGGGCGCGCGGCGGGCGCGAGAGGGAGGGGTGCGCTTGTTGCTAACGGGGGCGCGGCGGTCGCCCCCGCAAAGGGCCCGGAGAGAATTAACACTGGGGCACAATGGGCAGAATGAGCGGTTGTCGTGGATGCAACACGTCACTAGCAGTAGTCGGAGAATTGTCTCTGACCCAGCGTCAGCGTCCCCGCGTATTGGCCGGCACTCCATTTCGGCTCTGCGTACTATATGCTGTTGGTAAAATATCGAAAAAGTACTAGTTTTCAATCCGATCACGCTTATTTTTTTATTTTGCAAAGCCGAAACTAAAAACAAATGAATTACTCGCATCCAAAAGTAGTTCTTACAAAAAATAAAAAAGTACATAAATAACAGTTCAAATATATCTCTGTGTATTCTTCAATTTATCTATAAAATACTATATTTTTTTAAATGTCGTTTATATTGTCTCTGATTCATATGTTTATAGTTTACTTTGTAAAAATACTATAATCACACGAAGAAACACTGGCAGCCCTAATTGACTGCCGTTGATTGACACAGCGTCCCCAAAACTGTGACTGCGTGAAATAATAGTTAACCAATAGTCCGCACACAGCGACCCCAATCAGCACTCGACTTGCCACCTTTAATTTCCGAACACACAAACTTATTAAACATTTTTTTTACTAAAACGTCGATCGTATTACTTTAACACTTTATTAATTGATTTCAGGCGTTCCCTAAGTATCTCCGGAGCCCGAGATCGACAATACCAATGAAAGATTAAGTAATGTTTCCCAAGGAAGGGTACGTCAGTCAGGCTTTCGTAAAAAAAAGAAAACATCAAAATCGGTTCTCTCTGCCAAAAGCTATGAGGTATGACTTAAAAAAAAAAAAAAACAGTCGAATTCGTTCGTGATACAAAAAGAATCCTCCTCTTTTGAAGTCGGCTGTTATCGCTAAAAAAGGATGGCAATCGATTCAAACTAGTTTTTATTGCTCGACTTAGAGTTGATATCAATCTCATCGCGGGACAACACTGTTGAACACACAGCGAACCGGAAACAGTCACCTGTAAGGTCACACTCCTAGCCGCCGGATTCGAAGACTGACAAGTGCAAACCCATTGATTTTTCATTTGCATGCCCTTGGAGACGACTATTATACCTGGCTTATGGGCGCCTGGCGGGCGAAGTTTAGGGAGGGGTCGCTTGTTTCTAACCGGGGCGCGGCGGTACCCCCCGCAAAGGGCCCGGAGTAGAATTTGAATTCATGGGGCAAATGCGGCATTTGAATGAGCGGTTGTTTTTGATTTTGTGGATGCAACAGCACTGTCCACTAGCAGTAGTCGTCCCACAAACCTGAGAATTGTCTTTCTTTGACCCAGCCCTTCAGCGTCCCCGTATTGGGTCCGGCACTCCATTTCGGCTCTGCGTACTATATGCTGTTGTCAAATGGGATTTTCGAATATCGAAAAGGATGGTTAGTTTTCAATCCGATCACGCTTATTTTGAGAGTTTATTTTGGTAAAGTCGAGTACTTTAAAACAAATTACTCGCATAAAAAGTAGTTCTTACATTTCGAAAAAAATCAAAATTGATGAAACATTAATCCTTACCTTTTCGGTTAACGTACATAAAAATAAATATTTGATCTCTGTGCCAAAGTATTCTTCAATTTATCTATAAAATACTGGGTATTGTCATTTTTTTAAATGTGGTAGGGCCACGCAGCAGCCTTTACGATTGTCTTCTGATTACTGGAAAAATATGTTTGATAGTTTGTTTTCTTTGTAAAATATACTGATGTGTATTTATTAAAAAAAAAATGTTTAGGTACTGTTTATCAGCCCTAATTGACTGCCGTTGTTTATTGACAAGAGTTACGGTGGTAGCGGCCCGCAAGCTCGGACTGCGTGCAATAATGGGCAGGCCCGTCCGTTACCAACCTACAGAAAGTGGGAAGTATGAAAAATCCTTTCGCGTTTCGTGTGGTGAGTGAGGTAGCCGGAGCCCAATTTTCAAAAGGTTGTCAACGCATCTGGAATCCTCGGGTGTATCAGATGTCCAGGGGCGGCGGTATTCACTTAACATCAGGTGACCCGTCTGCTCGTTTGGCAACTATTCGCATAAAAAAAAATAGGTTTGTAAAACGTCATTACAACACAGAATAATATCATCCTAAAGTAAAGGCAATGTTTTAAAAAAAAAAGAAAACAAAAGAAAAAAGAAAGAAATAAAAATAAATAGTGTATAATAGTCGAACATTGAACATCCTCCTTTTTTGAAGTTGATCAAAAATTTCTGAGAAAATACATTTATCCCATCCCAATTTGCCCTGGAAATATATTTGGCGGGAATATTCGATTCGTTTGTTCATTTTTCTCGCCTCAGTTTTACTCGTGCGGTGTTAAATGATATAAATATAATAATTAGCGGTTACGTTTACAGAAATTAGCAATAACCGCATGGAGTGTTCGGATGCGAGTGCTAATTAAGTATAGAAATCCTCGGCAAAGTTTACATAATGCGATTTTTCGCTCGTCTTATGCAACAACAGCCGACAGCTCCCGTTATTCGTTTCAAGTGCAAACATAAAAGGAATTTAAATATTCTCGACCGCGACGTCGTTGGCAGAGGGCGTGCGACTGTTGTCTTTGGCAAAAAAAGATGGCAGTTCCCGCGCGTTTTATTGAAAAGTCAGCCGTGCTACCGCCCCTTTAGAGTTTGCTATCGCGTCCTTGAACCCCGCCTAAAGGACACGAGCCTCGCACCTATCCGAAGAGAAACTAAACATTTCACTGCCGACAATCGTTATGCACCCTTATCGCTGAGAGTTAGAGTGTAAAATGCATTGTCATGTTTATTCAGTTCTATCGTCCTCGACGACTGAAGCTACGCTACTATAGCGTTATAATAGAGTTTTTTTTTATGTTGATAATTTTTTTTGTTCGAATGAAACAATATTCTTTGTTGATACGTGTATTTACACGTACATAGCAGTAGATTTTAAGAATAAAATTATAAGAAAATGTTATAGAATGAACTGTTGTAGAAAAAAATGTTATAGAATGAGACTTTTATAATACGTACTTGTGCACATACTCGTATAATAATATTTTTCTACTCTTGTGTATTATGTAAAATATATCTTACCTCGTCAACCACTTTATCTGAATATACAAATACCGTAAAATTAATAAATGCAGGAGAGCAAAATTATCCAATTCACCGCATATAAGCACTTTGATTAAGACCCAAAGCTGTATTAAATAAGATATTTGACTACGTTGTAATACTTTGATATGCGTCCTGTTGAAATCCTTACAACAGAATTTAGACTACTTTCGGTCGAATTTAGTCAAAATTGAAAACCATAGAAATACAAATGAAATCTTCAATTTTAACTCAAATATAAATATTTTGCGTGATGAATATTCTTGTTACAGAAAACAATTTCAAAAATGTATTCCTTTGTAAATTTGTTTTCCAATATGATTTCTAAAATCGGCCTTTAGACAATGTTTTTTTAGTATTTTATACCATACAAACATGTTTTATGGTTGCCGTTGTTTTGTTATAATTATTTTAAATACCGGCGTGGCGTAGTTGTCAAGGTATTGGCTTCGGCGTCGGGGGTCGTGGGTTCGATCCCCACACGGGACAACTATTTGTGTGACCCACAGATAGTTGTTTCGCATCTGGGTGTTTGTCCGCGTGAAATTTATGTTTGTAAAACGTCCTTACAACACAGGACAATGTTAACCTAAAGTAAGGGCAAAAAAAATACCTAGCCTGTTACCTGGTAATTAATTTTATTTTGTCGATATTCCCTGTATCTCTGCGTCGGCGGCTAGATGGCGCGCGGGACCAACGCAAGGTCATCGCATCGCACACGCCACGGCCGCCATTAGAATTTGTCAGCTGAAGACGCGCCCTGTCAAAATCGAATTCCGAAGCGTGGTCAACGCTCACGACAGATAATGCGAAAGACACCGCTAATGTTTTTTTTTTTTAATTTATTACACGTCCATGTATACGGATAATTTACCCATTTGTTTTGATTTCTTTTTTTTTGTTTAAGTGCTATACTAAAACTGGTGGTTTGAGTCTTTTAATATTTACATTTTAAAATATTTAACAAGAAGTTTTTACGCGTAAGGGCCCTGAACTTATTTGCAAAAAATAATTTTTATAAGACCACTTGTTAGATAAACGGTTTTTAAAATCATCAATTTCTCTTGACGTTTCTGAATGCGAACGGCATTTACTATCGTACAGTACTGGCTAGTTATCGGATCTGGAAGAATTATGGCAACATCAATCCAAAAGGAGTCTGAGCCACTGTTACAAAACGCGCATAAATCGAGAAATCAATGATTTCTGGGACAGCCCTCACCTCGGTTTCTTGTGCGTGTTAATGTTAAGTACTGGTCCGTCCGCCGTCGTGTTCTATCGTCGCGCTCTCGCAACGAACTTGCGGAAAGCCCGCGAAAACGAGGCGATTTTGCGCGCTTTTTCACACGTCGTAGTAGAATTTTGACAATCGATAAATAAGTGTGATGCTTCTATATTGAATAAATATATTTTAATTTCAATTCGTTGTATATGGTAGGTCCACGTAGAAAGCGTACACGCCGTGGCCATGAAGAAGGAAACAAGGAAAATTCTTTTAAATTTTTTGCATTTAAAATCACGAATTATTAAAATCTGGATGTGGGCATAGTTAAATAGATACATTGCATCACATTAATTCATATTCATACACACAGCCAGTCTACAAAGCGTATGAGTAGTACTCTTATAATATTGACAAAATTTAGTATGCTGGTTTTGATAGGAATGCACGCTGATTTTGCTGCAGATTTTCTCCGAGAAATGTACGGTTTTTAGTTTTTAAAAAATCAGCTGTCGTTTTTGTGTAAGTTACTCACATAGTCACATTTATCGCTTGATGTAAAAAACACTCGATGAAGATAAAAGGTACTGCTTCATGCTCTAATGGTACAGACGTAAATGGTACCGTAATTGATAACCGCCTCCCAAAGACAGTTGCAACACCCGTAGACGCCTTTTAATAAAGTGGGCCTCGGCTACCTCACTCACCAGACGAAATGCAGAAGTGCAAAACTTCCACTTCGCGCCGGTGTTCTGTCAGCTCGCGGTACATCCCCGGTTGGAGCTGCCCATTCGTGTAACAGAGAAGATTTGCGTGGCGGAAATATAATGAAATGTTATGTGTGACAGAAGGGTGTAGGTAGAGATGACGATTTACTAAAGGAAAATGATTCTCAATAAAATTTTTAAAGTCACCACGTATTTTACCTTTGGTGGCCAAAGTCTGTAAGCGGTTGTGAAGCAATTATTTTGAAAGTCCACCAAGAGTCTGAAACTGTCTGAAAATGAGAGATTTCTCCCACCAGTGTTTTGGTGTCCATGCTACTAGGTATTTGATTATATTATGCTTAACTAGATGACAGTATACGGAACGGCCCAAATGAAGTCTACTATAATTGGTCGACTCTCTTCTACCTGACGCCAGTGTCATTAACAAGTGTATAGTTGCCCTACGGTAGTGGGGCCACGCAGCGGCCTCGGCGGTTTCACCAGCGGGCAGGCCCGTCCGGGTAAGTACCACGACCTCACAGAAGACCAGCGTAAAGTGGAAGTATGACAAATACTTTCGTGTTTCGTCTGATGAGTGAGGTAGCCGGAGCCCAATTTTCAAAAGGTTGTCAGCGCATCTGTAACCCCACTGTCCACGGGCGGCGGTATTCACTTAACATCAGGTGACCCGTCTGCTCGTTTGGCAACTTTTCGCATAAAAAAAAATGTAAGAAAAAATAAAACAGCCAAGTGCGAGTCGGACTCACGCACGAAGGGAGCATCACTATCACTACATAGTATAAAACAAAGTCGTGCCGCTGTCTTTCTGTCCCATATATGATTTTGATGGTTTTCTTTAATAGGTAGATTGATTTAAGAGGAAGGTTTTATATGTATAGGTAATATTTATGCATATATATTATTTATAGTGAATTAGTTTAACGAGCCGTGATAGCTCAGTGTCCGGGCGCTCGCCTTTAATTCAATATACTCGAGCAACCTGAGTTCGATCCCCGGTGCCGGCACTAATGAAGTTTTTAACTTTAAGTGCTGTCTTATCAGGTGCTCCGCGGTGAAGGAAAACATCGTGAGGAAACCTGCATATTTTCGAAATAATAATAAAATAATAATATTTCGAAGATATGTGAAGTCCGCCAATCCGCAGTGGGGCCGCGTGGTGGACTA